CACCCTCAGGGATAACCACCAAGCTCTGTGATTGCACTTACTGTAAGTCACTAAGGAGGGCTTGCTGTGTAAAAATGCCTGAGTGTAAGAGAGCTTGAGAATATCAACTTTGGAAGACCTTTGTTAATTATTTCCCGAAAAAATTATTCAGTAACAAAATTGTTTATAGTATTGCATCTGTATACCACCAGAGTGGATTTTTAAATCCAAGAGTCATCATATACATCAGCAAAAAAGAAAAAAAATGTAAAAAGTGGTAGGATTTCAGCAACTCGGGTGCAAGAAAAAAAAAAGAATTTAAATTTGCCATTATGGAAAAATACGGTAAATTCATGTGCTTTTAATAGGATAATAACGTAAAGATTTTTAACTTTAAATTGTTTTTTTTGTTTTTTACAGATTTTCATATTTAAAAAATGTATTTGCATGTGTAAAATCAGTGAAATTACCTAATAATTTTGTCCTATACTCTTGTAATGCAATTAATGAGGCTTAAAATTTCAGGAAAGTACTTTTATTAATTGGATTTTACTATGTGATTTTATGTCAGAAATCTTGTACTTTTATTCCATGATTAATGTGATATTATTGTCAGGTTCAGTGCAAGAACAGGATGCAAATGCAGGACTTTCCAGTTAGCAACAGTGAGTTTATTTACAGTGAAATAGAGAACAATAAAGTTAACCGTTTCCAACGACGTAGCTTCCTCTGTGGTGCTCCAAACTCCTGCACAGTGCTCGTCTGGTGGTGAAACGCCAACACTTGATAATTCCCAACAGCTCCGCTCCCGTGACACACTCCTTTCCAGGTTCCAATGAAGAAAAAATGTGATGATCAATTTGGCGTACTCACGGGACGGGAAATCCTTCTGGCCTGATGTTTGCCCATAAACTGGCATGTTGGACACACACACACACACACACAGAAGAAGCAGGGGAGCAGGCCAGTCGACTGACAAGGACAAATATGATATGCATTTTTTTTTAAATGTCAAAAAAATTGTCGCTAAACTAAGAAATGAGTTTGAGTTTGTAATTACATGAGTTAACTTTTTATTTTTGATTATATCAGCTGTAAGATGGCTTTGTATAGCACATTTCAAGATAAAAATCACAAAGTGTTTCACAGAAGCTAAAACATAGAAACAAAAACGAACCAAAAGCAAGTTTAAAATGACGAGTTTTTAGCTGATTTGTAAAGAGGACCACTCAGTCTACAGATCTCAAGCTCAAAAGAAAAGAGTTCCAGGGTCTGGGGGCCACAATGCCATAGCTCTGTCACCTTTCGATTTCAGCCTTGTGTGCTGGAAAACCAACAAGCCCTGATCACATGACCTCAGGGACCTGCTGGGGAAGTGATAAAAACAGGATCAAACCAGAGATTTAACATGAGCGTCCAAAGTCAGAGTTGAGTCAAAAGTTACACCTAGATTCCTAATAGAAGATTTGCCAAATGTAGCAAGAGGACCTAAATTTTCCATAACCTTGGGCAAACAATTATGAGAAGCACATGCAAGGACTTTGGTTTTCTCCTCATTAAGTTAAAGAAAGTTGTCAGCCATCCAACCTCTGATAAAGTCTATGCACCTGTGCAAAATATGTAACTTGGAAACACCTTGGGGCTTAAAGGAGATATACAACTGAATTTCATCTGCATAGCAGTGATAAGAAATGTCCTTAAAACTGCTCAGAAGGTGCGGACGAGGGAGTAAATACAACAAAAAAAGCAAAGGCCCCAATACAGAACCTTGTGGCACAGAATATGCAAAAGAAGTAGAAGAAGACATAAACTTAGAGGTAGCCAAAGAAAAGGATCGTTCACACAAATAAGATGCGAACCGATCAAAGCAGACCCAGATATACCCACACAGTGTCTCAGCCTATCTAGCAAAATGTGATGGTTGACAGTATCAAAGGCAAAGGTCAGGTCCAACATCAAAAGAATAGAGCATTCTCCTGCATCACATTTTATCAAGGTGTAACTGGAGACTCTAAGAAGTACAGTTTCAGTAAAGTGAGCTGTACGAAAGCCAGACTGGAATTTTTCCAGAATGTAGTCATCCAGAACAGCTATGAGCTGGTTAGCCACAACCTTTTCTAAAGTCTTAGTGATGAATGGTAGTTTTGAAATTGGTCTATAACTGCTAAGAAGAGAAGTTTCAAGCTTGTTTTTCTTAAACTGTGGGTGAATGACAGCATTACAGTAAACAGGGACCTGACCAGAAACCAAAGAAGTATTGATAATTGTAAGCTCACAGGGACCGATAGACTGAAAGACATTTTTAAACAAAGATCCAGCTAAAAATATAAAGAGAGCAAGAGGATGCTTTCATTGAAGTAACTAATTTGACAAGCTCAGGTAAGGACACGGGTAAAAATCTTTCTAAAATAACAGACAACAGAGACAGAGAAGGAGAGATACTGTTCCTCACATTACTAACTTTTTCAACGAAGAAAGAAACATTTTTAATCTAATCTTCATTCCATGAAATTGGGACAACAGGTGGAGCAGGAGCAACAATATCACTTATGGTGTCAAATAGTACCTTGGGGTTAGCTCTGCTCTTTGAAACCAAGTCTGAGAAACAGGCAGCCCTCGCATCTCGAACTGAAGTGTTAAATAAAATGAAGGAGATGAACATGTAAATGAGTTTTCCTCCATAATTACTCAACTTTCCAAAAGGGAATCCTGTCAATTATCCAGGTGGGCGACTTTAAAACAGGAGCTAATCTGGTTTTGATTGTCTAAAAACGAAAGACAATGATTAGTAAAAAGATTTGTTACTAAATCAACATCTTTATAGGAAGGTAGATAGGCTATTACTCCTTTATGATTACAAGGCAGTCTGGGCAATGAGCTATCTGAACCTTTTCTGTAATTTCACAGATGTTTTGTTTACAAATGAAGCCCAAAGAGTCATGCTGACAGATTTCTTTCATTATGTTTCATTATTTATGTGGTAAAACTGAGAAATGCTGTTGGAATTGCACTTCTTTTCTTATATTTAGATATCACAGGGATCGGCTGTGTAGGTAAACTTTTTTCCACTGACAAAAAGGGGATTTTTACTGGTCGGGCCTACTTAAGATCAAAGTGCGCTCTATGTGGCAGCTGATTTCAAATGAGTTTGACATCCCTGATCTCGGCTGAGCTAAGATCAGGTAGCTGAAAAGAAAAGAATAAATGGAAAACCAACATTTGGCAATGAAGATTGCTCATGTGAAATAAGTCAGAATAATACGGAAAGACTGATATGGGACTATTATCTCATCGACTGAGATGACTTGGCTAAATATAGAGAATCATAAGTGGGTATGTGAACACTCTGACGTCTGACATCAACACCACAGCTGATAAAACAGACTTGATAAGAGAGACTTTTAAAATGTTAGCTAATGTTCCAGTAATAATGATAATACACACTTTGGCCCACAGATCTGAAAAACAGTTCCTCCCTCTGAGCTAAGTGTGAATTTTACCTTTTTTCAACAGTCAAACAACAATATCTCTTTCGTCCTCTGTTGCTTGAAACTATTTTGATGTTGCTGGAAATGAGACTAAAATTTCCACAAATATATTTTACTACAAAACTGTACAAAATGTTTTGGATTGATAAGCTTTCTTAAGTATCTGAAGTTTTCATGTCTGTGAGACTACCAGTTTGATTTAAAATGTAAACGTGTATTTAGGCTTCTTCAATCGGAAATATTTCCTTGTTTATATTCATTCATAATTTTGCACGAAAGCTCAGCTTCCGATTAAAATAAGGAAATCACCTAAAAATGACACACAAGGTTTAGTCCCTTCGTATTCCTCATAACAAGTAACTAACTCAGTGATGTGGTGAAAGTGCGTATAGTGAAAAATGACACCTCTACTCGAGTATAACAGGAAACACAAACTTTTAATGTGATTTCACAAGAAAACAGTGGCAGTGCCAGCACTGCCTGACAGTCCTGTACCATTTTTTGCCATTTCCTGAACAGCGTATTTAAATGCACAGATGATAAACATCTGTCTATTTGACGTCAAATCCATGTGTTTGACGTTTTATTCAAAGTGTTTTTCACAGTCCGGTTGCTTCATTTACATAAAGCAGAACATTTTTCACTTAAGGTCCCTTCTTCCTCAAGCAGCACATCTAGCAGACAATCAGCTTTTGTAGTGCAATGTTGTCCTTATATTACTTTCAGTGCTCCTATTTTGGTCCTCACCTTACATGGAAAATGTTAAAACCAGATCAGCTGTTTTTGGTCCTACCAGTGTTACAGTGATTTACTATTAAATACTTAATTTAATATGACAACACATTGATACTTCAACAGAAATGCAAACTGTAAAAAATCCTTTTAAAATCATCTTTTTATAAATATGCATTCATGTAAAAATAAAATAAAAATAGATTCTTTCTTAAATCTTGAATCTCATTACAGCGGCTGCAAACCTTTCATTCAATGCTGTTCTCTTTAATCAGAGAGAAAGTCTAGGAGGTCTTTGAGCTTCAGGTGCCAGTTACTGACTGGGCTTAGCACAGAGGCTGCAGCTGAAGTGGCATGACCCTGAACTACACGATTACAGGGAGGCACTCATCTTCAATAGGCACAGCTCCAGCAGGCAGAAAGCCCAAGAGCCCCGTCAGCAGGCTTCATACTGTACAAGAGGAACTCTGAACCATGTGCACAGATGACAGCAGACCCTCCATCAGGATACGTACAGTAGTGGCTAAACGACCCACACACCTTGAAGTCTGGGAGCTCCACACAGAACAACAGATCCTGCTTTGATTTTAGCTCGGCTTTTTAGATGTTCACAGTCAATTCTGCACAGTCCAGACCTCCAGGTCTTGTACAATAAAGTCCTCATTTGTGGAGAGAGGTGCATTGTGAAAAGTCGGACTGGAAAAGCTTGAACCACGGTACAGATCAGCATCCAGCCACAGGGCAAAGCCACTCCTAAAGACAGAGAGAACA